TATATATATATATATATCTATATATATATATATATGTGTGTGTGTGTGTGTGTGTATGTATATTTTTTCCCCCTTTCTTTTCTTTTGTTGATATTTTTCACTTAATTTGAGTAAGCTGTTTTTTAATAACTGGAGAGTTTCCCAAATGTTTTTTCTGTCCACTCCATTTTAATTTATTTTATTTATATATTTGTTTCTTTATTTAACCTTTGTTTGTACCGGTAAACTGAAAGGTTTTGAAATGTCTTCAGAAACCTAGCAAAAATCTGGTTGCTTCCAATTTAAGTCTGTTTTATGGTTGCCATTACCCAAAAGACTCACAACTTACACGGGCACCCCATTTACCTTTTTTTGTTTTATATTTTTTACTCTGGTGTGTAAGTGTATGCTTTCATTTGCCTATGTGCTCTTTCTCTGACACCTGAATTTCCAAAGAAATGTTCTATTCTGTTCTTTTCTATTTTTCCAGTTTTTTTCCCTCCAGGATTAATTGATAATGTTTTGTAAAACTTGGACAATAACATATTTGTCTGAATGTTCTTTAGAAAGTTGAAGGGAAACCACCTTTTAAGCCATCAACTAAGTCCTTGTATAAATGTTTGACCACTCCTCTCTTGATAAAATTGGTAGAGCTAGAAATTGGTTTTGTTGCCTATGAGCCTACTTTTAAGATGATACTGATACTTTGAGTCAATTTACACAGAGATAGACTAAACAATAACAATAAAAAGCTTCTCTGCCAAATTTCCCACTTCCAAGCTTGAATGAAAAGGTGCAGTTCCCATTGTAAAAGACTGATGCTCTTTGTGGAAATGTAAATAGCGAAACTTGACGAACTTAAGCCATGTGGAACCTATGAATAACAATACTTTTGGAGGATTCCAAAGCATTTTGTACATTTTTACTGAAAAATACCTTAAAAAGTGGCTTTTTATCTGTTCCTTTACAGATAAAACATTGTTTAATAAGCAGACTGACACCTCAGTAGGTCAACATTGGTGTATCTATAAGCCTTCATCCTGATTCCCTGAATTTACTTTGGGTCAGAGTCTCTTTGTGGATGTCATGTCAAGCGGGTCCATTTTAAATGGGTCAGATCTAGTACGCGTTGTACCATCAAGATGGATTTGGTGGATATTAAGAGTGAAGCATATGATGGCAACTCTAAGTAAGGTGAGAAAAAGTTAAAAAAAATCCTTGTCAAGTACAAGTGCGAGCTATGAAAACGAATAGAAGAGTGTTCCAGTTTTATGTTTTGGCCACAGGTGGCAGTGTCATTTGAAAACTACATCATGCATCTTTAAATAAACAGTTGAAAAGTGGACAAAACCAAGTAATGAACTCAAACACCCATTAAAACTGGCAAACATAACCCTATTAGAATTTAATTCACTGTGCTTAAAAATATAGGTCAATGCTAGAAATCAGGCACATTTAAAAATTCTGTGGTATTTACATATTAAGTGTTAAATATTGAGTCAGAATAGTGCCAGGAATTAGTCCTTACATGTTATTTTTCTGCTACTTTTTCTAGGAGATAATTACACAACTATCAATGTGGGTGCATGTCGGCGCTTAAGTCTGTATGTATAATTTAGACCCTGTGTGGAACCGTTTAAATGAAAAATCAAAAGCCCTGTAGTATGACATTCAGTGAATAATGAGGGAAGGTAAAGGTTTAACCAGAGGTGTATCCTAACTTTAAAGCAGTCAGCAGGAAGAAGTGAAAGAGAAAGAAGAAAAAACTATACTGACAAAGACACTATTAGGACAGGATGAGAAAGGGAAAAAGGACCTTTATTTGAGGAACAGCAAAGTCATGGACAGCGATTAGAGCTCGCCTGATCTCCTCTGCATCAAAAGGTATCTGTAAAAAGCAGGAGTCAATAGACAGGGAAGCGTGTGGCTATAAAGTGAAAATAAAGGGAGATTAACCATAATGAAAAGGATAGAAGGAAGCTGAAGGATTTAATTTACAAGAAAATTATACTGATACCTTATTTCTGAAGTTCAAACTCTGTAACACCTAAAAACTGCATTAGGGAAGTCAAATATGTCGCCTCTGTTACCTGTAGTAGCTCAAAAGCAGCCAGCAGCTCTCCTGCAGTGTTGTTCCCTCTGTATATCTGGTAATACTCCAGCTGTGGGGGGAACCTTGGGGGCCCGTAAGGCTCATCACACATCTTAATGGTGGGCTTTGCAAACGTCCGACCTATGAACTCTGCCTTACCCTGGGAGCCACAGTGTGGGAGATAACAATGAAGCAAAAAAGTGAAGGGATAAGGGGAGTGGGTTAGATGCATGCATGGGAGGTGCAATTACCAATAACAGCCACCTGGTGTCATTATTAGACAAACTGGTGGAAAGTTAGAATGAGTTTTTCTATCAAAAAAATAAGTGATCATGATTAAATATTTAGTGTAAAGGAACATGCTAATTAGCTTTAATAACCTTTTAAAACTGTCTTGCTTATGTTAAAACTGAAAGAATGAAAAATTATTGCTCCTGCAGAGCTTAATATACTAAATTCAAGTCTTCAAACTTTGCAATGATTCCATACTCTAATCAAAAAAGTGAGACCATCAAAAATAAAAACAAAAAGGGAGGACAAACAGAGGGTTAATAGGGATGGAAAAACACAATGCTTTTAGTTTAATGACAAGTTTCAGGTAATTTCTTTTTTTTTATCATTTTGCACTTTTTTAAAAAGGTTACATCAAAGGAGGATCCTACCACAGTGTCTTGGTCATAGAATTCAACCACAATGATTGGAGGGTCGTCTCTCAGCTCAGTAGCCTCTCCGAACAGCTCCACATCATCAAACACTAGCAGCTGGTCCCACGTGGGGCAGAGGGTCTCATTTAAAACCTGTGGCACACACACACATAAATGGTTTGCACATAAATCAGTATAAAAACACAAACTCAGACACATACAAGCAGATTGCTGTTACCTCAGTAACCTGGCTTTGTGCAGAGAAGAAAACTCTAGCGAAGGGATCTGAAAGCCCACTGCTGTCAGCAGCAAACAGACTGCGGGCTTGGTACATGTGAGCTCTCAGCTGGAAGACCTGCTTCACTAGTAAAAATGAATGAAAATATCCAGAGCTTTTACTTTTTATTCTAGAAATTTGGCATTAATTAATGATCCTCTCTTTGATTGTTGCTTCCTAAACTGTTGCACTGCTTACTGTTGTAGACGAGAGTAACTGGAGGCACAGACTGGCCTGTTTTGGTGGCTTTAATCTCTTCGAAACCATTTGGGAGACCATTTAGGAATTCCTTTCTGTTCTTGTTAAGGCCAAGCCATAAATATAACTCCAGTTTAGCCTGAACTGTCCAGCCAGCATGACCAAAACCCTTCTTCCCAGGCAGCTGTGGATAGAGGTTACAACAAAAGATTAAAACCAAACAGACTCTTACAAAAACACCACTGCTGTCGAGGATCAAAGGCAGGTCTGTATTTGTGCTTCCACTCTGCTCTATCATCAAATAAATTGCTTATTGTTATTGAGAGAACACCTTTAAATTAAAAGGCTTTTAGGAGGTCACTCCCCCTTCAAGAGGTTTGCAAACTATACTGAACTCAATGCTGAGATTTAATTTATGGCAACTACAGCAATGGCAGACAATTGAGTTCCAGTTTGCTTCGGAATAGTCAACTAAAAATGTTTTCATTAATCAAAACTTATCCACAGACAACAGACTCTAGATTTTTTGCTTTTAAAAATCACATATATGTTATATAAACATTGTGCTCTGGTAAAATATGAGTTAAAATTAATAATTAAAAATAAACACAATAAAACATTCATAGCCAAGAGGATTTTATATATACTGTTGACCTGTGCTATATGGACGAAAAGGTATGAAGGCATTGAATTACCTTGAGGAAGACGGCTTTGACTTTCCCACAGTCTTTCCCAGTCTCTTCATCCACCACGGAGTACAGAATATCTTTGGAAGGAATCCGGGCATAAGCGATGCGCTTGTGGTTACTCATCATCCAGATGAAAACATCTGGGATGCTGTGCTGAGGCTGGAAATAATGTAAACAAAGCTGGCTTCAAATTGTTCTTTCCTTACTCCTAAACTATAGGAATGAGAACTCAGATTAGGATTACTCCTAATCTGAATTTCTACCTCATCAGCAAGGAAACGGAGCCTCTGCAGGAAGTTCTGCGCCAGCTTAAGTTTTTCTTTGACCGTGTTTTTCTTCACCTGTGTGCGAATCTGCCTGGCCTGCTGCCCCATGCTGTCCTGCAGAACGAAATACAAAGTAATGCGGATGGAAGCTAAAGAGCTCTTTCTAAAATAATTATAAGTGTATTTTTGTAATAATTGAATACTCATTGAAATTCCAATGTGATTCATTGAATGAATGCAAATATCCTAGAAATAATAATTATTATGGAAATAATGTTCTACTCCATAGTCATATTCTATTTACTCGTTACAACAGCAAGATTAAAGGCTACCACTATATTAATTAACTGAAGCTTGCTTTTTGTGCTAGTGAGGAATAAATTATACCATCTCTCTCATGCATGACTTGAGCCGTTCTCGATCAAGCTTGGTTCTGCCTGACAGGTTTACATCTTTGTTGGCAAGTGTCAAATACCGACTGCAAAAAAAAAAAAAAAACACAAGGGAAAAATTAACATCCTTTATTCATTAACACACTTGTGTCAGTGACATGCTGATCCCCCCATTAAAGCTTTGTACTATACTAAGTGAATAAAAGAAAAAAAATATATAATGACATCATTAAGGGAAAAAAAACAAACAAACACAAAACTGCTGCCTGCTTCAGCATGAAACCTTTAATGAATGTGTTTGTCTGCTGAACAAAGATGCTCCAGAGGCAGCTAACTGCCTTTTTATTGGAAGATATTCTTTAAGACATCAAAACCAAACAAGCACTTTTGCTGCAGCATGAAAAATAAATTTTGGTGTTGCTGTGATCCCTGTTGTGCGATACGATATTCTATAAGGTCTGACTACTGTTTATTCTTGTAGTTCTTATTTGAAAAGTAATAGATTTTTGTTACATAGCTGAGTACCTGCAGCCAATACTGAGCTCCTCCAAAACTCCCCTGAGTCTTCGCTCCGGAAAGGCCTTCTCTGTCTTAATAATCTCCTGAACATCATTTAAGCCCTCTTCCTGGTGGAGCACACACAGTAACAGAGTCAAACACATAAAACTGCAACGTGCATCTTATATCTGTTCCAGGAATTATATATACCATATGTAAATGACATGCAGTGTTAAAGTAAACAGACAAATATTAACGGAAATCCAAATAGGGTCCAAATCCAAATTATATACATAGGGTCTAATACACCCCCCCAAAAAAATATTTTGGATAAATGTACTTCAGCAGGTTGCCACTTAATTACCAGTATCTATCTAGCTATTAAATAGGTCTTAAAATTATTTTTGGTTGCATCTTTGACTCTCTGGATAACAGGGCAGTTTATGTTGATTTTCATCAAGTTGGGTGTAAATTAGTTTTCCTTTTTCCAAAGCCAGTTTTGGAAGTTTTTAACAATCTATCTGTTGATCTGAGTTGAGGTAGAAGAATTGGGGATTAGTGCTCCTTCATTTTTATCTGTATTATTACATCCGTTGTGTTCAATGCACCCCTACAAATACCCTTTCAAATGTGTAACATAGCAAAATTACAAAATAATTGTATTATCTGACGATAAAAGCTCACTTTAAAAGGTATTTGGCGGAATACTGGGGGAAAAAATAAAAGCCTGAAGGAGTTCATTTTCAAACATGGTCTATATTCTAGTCGTCCCCCCCCCCCCTCCTGTTTATGATAACTAGTCTCATGATGAGCATAAATGTTGGGGGTTTCTGGGTAGTTTTTGAAAATTTCTGAATAGCCTCTCATCTTACAACTAAGTTTTATAACAGATCAATGATCCAAAAGAACTGTGAAAAGCTTAAATTGAGTTCATTAAATGGACTTCCAAAGCCCTGACCTCCCACCTTTGGTATTGTCCTTAAATGGAAGTCAAGAAGTCAGAATATGCAATTAATTCTGCTGAGAATAGTCTAAAAATAAGCTAGAATCATTTTGACTACAAACTTGCTTTACAAATTGCTGAAGGGCATTTGCTCAAACATTATTGGAAGTGCACATATGCTGTACATACAATTTTATATATTCCTCTGTGTGGATTATTACATCAAATCCACAATAGATTCTGTGTTTTTCTCCAACGAAAGAGATTGAAATGGTACATAAATAATAAACAATGTTTGTGGAGATGAACTCCAAGTGTAAATAAGCTGCATAGAAAGACACTCACCAACTTGTCTGCAATCTTATCCATCATGTTTGAATTATAAAGTCGCCTCCTCTGATCCTGCCACCAGCTCTTGATGTAGACACAAGGCTTTTTCTCAAAATAGGGCAGATGGAAGTAATTTCTGCAGTTTGGAAATTATTAATATCAGTAACCTTTGACTTTAGTTTAAAGTTTTACATAATATTGGATTTATATAATTGGTGAACACAGACCTGTCTGTGATAAAGGGCTTCATGGGAGGCGTCGAGGAGACTGAGGTCAGTTCCCCATCATCGTCATCCTCATCTTCACTGGAGTTCTGGATCAGTTCATTTTCCTCCTCCCCATTCTCACCTTCTTTCTTTTTCTTCTTCACAGAGGAAGACTTGCTCACTCCATCTATCTGGTTGCCATAATTCCCTGTTGGCCACAGAGAGAGTAGCAGCTGACTGTCCTGTGGAAACTTTTTAGTGAATTTCAGTTTTCACAAGATTCAAATAGTTGTCAAGTACCTATGGTAATTTCAAAGCTTATTGGTTTGTCACCAATCTTTCTGTCGATCATAGTCGCCTCCAGAAATGAACCAAACAGGAAGAACTCTTCCATTTTTCCTGTTGCACTCTTATGGAAAAAATGACAAAGTATTTTTTGGTGAAAAAACAAAAAAAAAAACAAAAAAAAAAACAATCAATTACTTTATAGTCTGAAAAAGATGACCATTGTTACTCTATTGCCAAAGAAGTCTTTTTACCTCTGAGATGTTGGAAATAGGTTCAACTTGAACCTCAGTTGAGCTGATGATTTCAGGCGATGTGGTGTCCAGGATTTCCACAGCCACAGAGATAAGGAGGCGAGCTCTGAAGGATACACCTTCGCCAAGCCCATCATTTAGGTCCTGGTGCTCGTCCATCAGTGTGTACTGGCGGGTGGAACCGTACATGTTGACCCAGGCTGGACCAAGGGTGGGCAAAAAACCTGAAGGATTTTACATACAGAAAATTCATCTTAGTTAACATTGCAGTTTTACTTCATTTTAAAACTAACTAAATTTAGAACATTCAAATCAAGGAATCTTTTACCCAAACTTTCATCAAACATTTTTTTTTTTATCCATGAGGGATTCCTGCAGCGGCTTGTTTGAATAAAATTAACTGTTATTAAATAATTTTAATAATTTTTTTTTGTTTATTTAAAATATAACTAGAATTTCAGATATATCTCATCAAATGTATTATAGTTATAAATACCAGAAATGATATATATATTTTTAAAGTAATTCATATTCTCTCTTGCTGAGTTTCATGTTGGAGGTAATATTTTGAGAAAATATTATAATATATTCAGTTACAGGAGCTGGCATTGTTTTCTAGGGGGATGGGAGGGGTTCTGGTTTGGGGACCAAATGATCACATTCCTGCTTTTTGCAGATGAGGTGGTTTTGTTTGCTCTCTTCTGCCAAGACCTACAGCAGGTTGTATGTGGTTTGCAGCCGAGTGTGAAGCATCAGAATGAGAATCAGCCTTATACTCCTATGTGTGGTTCTCAACCAGGTAAAGGTGATTTTTCCCCTTCAGGTTGGAGGAGAGTTCAAGAGGATGAGTTTTAAGTATCTCAGGTTCCTCTTCAAGATTGAAGAAGAATGGATCAGAGCGACTGCTGCTATAATGCGGAAGCTGCTGTCTGTTTTGGTGAATAGAAAGCTGAGCGAAAATCCAAAGCTCCCGATACCTACCCTCACATGTGGTCATGAACTTTGGATCATGACAAAAGAATGAGATCCTGGGTACAAGCGTCCGAAATGAGCTTTCTATGCAGGGTGGCTGGGCTCTCTCTTAGATATAGACAGGGTGAGGAGGTAATTTGGGGAGAGGAACAGAGTATAGGTACTTCTCCTCCACATTGACAAGAGTCAGCTGACGTGGCTCAGACTTATTTTTCAGATGCCCCCTGGATCGCAAAAGGAGGAGGCCCAGGAAATGATGGAGGGAGTATGTCTCTCACGTCAGGAGAAGATGTCTGGGGGGAGGAAAATCTGTAAGTCACTGCTGAAACTGCTGCCCCTTGTAACTTGGTCCAGGACAAGTGGAAGACAACAACGACAGGCCATGATTGGTATTACTTTTTCAGTTTACAAGGAACCTTTGGATGTAGCTTGTGGAGGTAGAGGGCTAAGCATTTCAAAATGCTAAAATATTTTCAACTTGACGATTTTCTCATCAGTATAAATTCTTCTTCATCTTTATAATAAATCATGTTTTCTACACCATTTACAGCCATCCGTGTCAGAAGAATGAGGAATATTTATGGGTTATAAACGGTTTGTGATTTGGACCATAACTAAAAACAACCACAATGATCCCAGGAGATCATCAACAGATGTGAAATAAATGTCGCCCCGCTGCCGCACCTGTGTGGTTAATGCTCCTTTGGGATGCATCTCTTTAGTTTTAAATATCAAATGGCTGCAATTCCTCCCAGTGATTATAGAACAGATCCACAGTGTAAACCCTGTGCTACGATCACACGTTTATAAAAAAATTATTTGGATTTAATCTTTACTGCTGCTGCCTCGTTTCTTGCCTTCTCTGTTCTCCTGTTGCTTCAAAAATGAGAAACCATGAAAGTCTAAGTGACCTTAAATATTTTAACAGTTAGACCATAAGTTCTGCTTTTGCAACAAGATCCTGTCTTCCACACAAAAAGGGTGAATAATTACTCAGCCCTGTTTAGGACTCATTGTGCAAATCTTTACAAAATGCCCAGTGTTAAAGAGAGTTTAAGGCGAAAAGGTTTAAGGGCTAATAGACAACTTGTACAGTAGCATGTCATAAGATGCATATAATTGCTTTAGATTTTATTTAATTATATGAGGGTAAAGAAAGCTGAAAACAAACTAAAAAACAATTTTAGAATTTTAGGCGATATGAATGAATAGAAAACCATACATCTAATTCGCTCTCCCTTCTTTTCTGTAAGGTCCTGCACATCAATGTGGATGCCTTTATAATCAGTTGAATATAAGAAAGCAACCAAGCAGCAAAGAGGGTTTGATTTACAAGCAGAAACAGAATAGTGAACATGCTTTATAACCAATAATTTCTAGAAAGACTATCGACTTCTATGATGGCCATTGTGTGTGAGCGATACCTTTATCACCATCATTTGAGATCTTCCGTAGATCGATGAAGTGTGTTCCTATGGCAACGTCATTGACCTTATCAGAGTCTCTAATCTGTACCTTGATCCTTTTGCAAAGAGGAGGGAATAGCTCTGTGAAGATGACCTGCTCATTCCAGATTGGTTCGTAGCTGCTCTTCTGGACCGATGTCTTTCCCTGGAGAAATACAGTAACAGAATATTGATCAACTCACAGAATGGGAAAATACACACAGCTGGATTGCCATGGGAACAGCTACTACTCACTTAATTTAAATATATTTTATATATCATGTAAGAAAATGTATATGTTTGTTTCTTTTCCTTTATAAATTACTTTGCACTTTTTCAGGAAAGTGTTCAACACAAAAGCACTCGGCTGAGCTTAGTTCAGATTTAAAAAAAATATAAAACATATTGAAATAAGATTAAAAGTATTTCCCCTAAATTATCCTAAAATGTAATTAAATCCTTTAACAATAAATCATGCTGAGGACACTGCTATAGTTTCTATAACAAATCCAAGCTTACATGCTTTGTTAAATCTGCAGTGTTTTCAAACAGCAAATGTTCCCTATGGAGTCATAACAGGCAAAGAAAGAAATAAAGAACTTAAGAAAGATAAAAAGAGAAAACCTTTTGCCCAGAAAACTGCACTTGAACATAGGGGTCAACAAGGTCTCTGTTTTCTCCAATAAAAGCCTTTTTCACATTCGCCATTATGCTGGTGTTCATTTTAGGAAGTCCCTCAGCCCGGTGGATCTTGACATAAAATCTTGCCCATTGCCTTTCAGCTGGGATTCCCTCTGGAAGGAGGAGATTTCTAAGGCACAAAGAGCAGAAAAACAGGAAACAGATCATAGAGGGTGATTGCATGTATTGTTGAAGAAGTTTCCACTCAGAAATTTGAATCTTATAAGCTCTAGGCGCTTGCAGATGCTTTGCAATTATTACAAAGAAACCCAGAGGGTAATCTATCATCCATAGTCCTTTGCTGCATCTGTTCAGTTTGTAATTGTGTTTAATGTACAGAGTATTAATTCCTAAGCAGGAAATAATCTTAGGATGCAGGTTCCTTTGGAAGGAAAATGATCCACGAACAGTACATCCTCATAACTGAAACATTTTGTAAGCAGCTGACTAGAAGAAAACAGAAGTTTTGATCTTATGATTAATGAGATTTTAGGAGAAAACAAGCAACAATTCACCCCTCTATGTCGTCTTCATCGGTCTCATTGGCTTTATGTGGGGTCTTGATGTTATCCCCTTTCCCAACAACGGCAATGTCACATTTAACGTATCCTTTGGACCCTGCTGTGATGTCATCAGGGTCAGACAGGATGGCCCATTTGTGGTAGAATTGGTGTTCTGTGACAGATTTTAATAGATCAGTTTTTAAACAAATAGGCAAAATATCTACTTAAAAGCAGCTTATTCTTCTTCCCCAAAAAATCATAGGAAAATATTTTTTTTTTCAGGAGTTATGTGTAAAAGGTACTTTACCAGGCTGAAAGTAAACAGTCCCGACATCCATCTTAAACGTTCCCACCAATGTTCCACTTCTTAAAAGGTTTTTAGAATGAATGACCTAAATAGATAGAAAGGAAAATTAACTATAAAAACAAATAAATAACTGGTTTTCACAAATGCATACACTTGTAATTGCATAGAAAACAAATAACCGTTTCCTTATTTTCTAAATGTGAACAATGTTTTTCAATCTATTAGTTATCAGCAAAAAAAACAAAAACTAAGTTGAAATTACCTAAAGTATATGTTCAGCAGTTTTACAGCAAGTGTGTAAGAAAAATATGAGATTATCTTGTTACTTCGACGAACTAACAAACTATCAGGTGCTGTTATTTCCAAACTAAGCTAGGCTGCTAAGAAGAGTTCAGGTCCAAATTTCTTGCCAGATCGACCAAAAAAAATAAAAAATTGGAGATAAAGACAAATGACAGTGAAACCCAATGCAGATGTGGTGATACCCATGGCAGTGATGTTGCTGTTGAATTCCCCCCAAAATTATATTAGAGCCAATCATTGTTTCATACAAAGGTAAACTCTGGTGACATCAGGGTGATCCCCCTCTTGTGTGATGGAGGTCACTTCATTTTTGAAATATGCATAAAGTACCCAAAGCATTTGTTTTGATTGTATGAATTACTAACCGAGAGCTTGATGATCTTGTCAAACATGACATCAGGAGGGACGTGGAAATCGAACACAAAATACTGTAGAGAGTAGAGAAACAAGGATTGCCATTAAACTGCAATATATTTACTCCTACCTTTAATATCAAGAGTGAAAAAAAAAACACTTTTGCACAACATTGCTCAGATTGAGATCAGCGCGGGACTGTGATCCTAAGTAGGTGCAGGATTGAATACAGACAACAGATGACTGATAGTTCTGAAAGCAGATTGCTCACATATAGCTGTAGAATTCAAAAAGAGGATAAAAAACAGATTTTCTTTAAGGAACTGAGTGGATTATCGTGTCAGCTCCACAGGAAATGAGTTTGTCTGAAGTATGGGGATCAGTGTGTATTGAGTGGGCAGGTAAAACATTTTCTGAACTCAGCCTTAAAAAGATGCAGCAAAAAGTATAAATGCATGATGTCTTATTTAAAGTGAGACATAAGAAATCTGATGCATCCATGTTTCAGTTTGCATAATTTTTTTATTGTCAGAAGATTATAAAGGTTTAGAGATTCCTAAGAACTGATATAGCTCATCTTAAAATTGCAGCTGCTAAAGTAAAGTTTTTTTTCTGTAAACTTCAGTTAGATGTATTTTAGTAAAATAATAAAAGTAAAAGTAATCTGTTTATCCAAAATCATTTAAATCCCAACATTAACATTAAAGATACCTGAAAATATGTAACGGTATTCATTTTTAAAAACAAAATAGTTTGGTACACTCAAGGAATGCTGAAGATTATATGCTGTAGTAATAGCAAACAATCTCACATAGTTATTGTTAACGAAAGATGCCCCCCAAAAAAAACAAATGTCTAGAATAAGCAGCAGTCAAAGGATCCTGTTAGTGACTACAGAAACTATGAGATGCCAGCATGTCAACTTCTTTGGCTTTAAGTTTTTCTCTCAGCAGGGGATTTTCGGTCAGAACCAAAGAATCGATAACAGACAAACTGTCACTTTCACTCCCTGCAGGGAACAACAAAGAGTCTGAGCTCTGGAACATCTTTCTCTACAATGACTAATCCGTCCCAAATCCAAGGGAGATTCTCCTGCATCACAGGGGTTTAACTACTCTGCAGCCTAATCAATATGGTGTCTTTATCTTGCATACAATCTCACCCCAAAAGTTAAACTAGTTCTTTTCACCTCAGATTTAGCATAGATAAAGTCAGAAGGTTTTTATGGACATTAGAGGATGACTAAACATATAACAATAAATAGGAGCACAAAGAAGTTCTTACCTCATTAAAGTATGGGCAGTTGGTTGACTCCTTCATGGATGTATATTTCTTGTCATCTCCAACCTCCACACACACCACAGGGTCCATGTTTAGACCTATTAGCTGTCGAGCTTCGATCACTGTGATGCTGATCTGATGGGTAAGATTCAGTTATCAGATCTGACATCCGAAATAACATTGCTTTCGTTAACAGTCTGAGTATTTCAGTCAATTGTATTACATTTTTACAATTGAGTAATCAGTCCTGCGATAATTAGGTCCTAACTGTGTATTCGATTGGCTCCACTACAGCTGTTTATAATTCAGGCCAGTGTTAGATTTAATTATAGATAAAAAAAAATCGTAGTATCTAATTGTCAGTGATTTGCTCAAACAGTATCTTATGCAAAATGTTAAGAATGCAAAAATGTAAACTTCCCTTTGAGCCCTACTCAAAAAAATTCCAGTTTAACTATGGTTATCCTTTTCTTAGAATCTACTTTAAATCATAGCATAACCTAAACCCCTTTTTGATAAAGTTGTAAAATGAAAAAAGAGAAAAACTCAGACTCAATCAATGACAATAACCAACAGAAATCAAATCATGCATAAAAATATACCTGGTAATCAACTGGTCGTCCAGCGCTTGGTTCCATCTTGATATCTGGCTTTGATCTGAAAAAACAAACAACGAACAAAAAAACAAAGCAAAAAAATAGCTAAGACATTTTGAAAATGTTAATGTATAATCTTTTCCAGTTGTCTTTTGGTGGATGTTGTGATTCAGGCCCATTTGCCTGCTTGTTCTCACACTTTGCCTTCTCTCCATTATTTACTAACTGTGGTCATACTTTTTAACATTAGGTTCCCCTGCACGCTTCACCAGATGGATAATTTCATGCAGTTCACTACTTATTAATAAATATTTTAAACACTGTGCTTCAGCTGTTTTTGCATTACAGATGTGTAATCTATAGCAAACAGATAACAGACTTGAGAGACTGATGCACTATGCAATCAGTGTAATTTCTTTAGCCAGAAATTAGAAGAAGTTAACCATATAATCTGTAAAACTCCCTGCATAATTATAATAAAGCAATTTATATGCATGAAACAAGCGGAACACTATGGCAATAGCCTTACTGCTCCACTTGTGAAAGCAAAATCTGTTGGGCTCTTTTTGGCATCAAGGCAGCTATTCTTATTATCACATTGCCAGACAGGAAACTGAATACAGACAGCTTTACTTCAAGCAACAAAAAAACACATGCAAAAACAGCCAATGACAGTTTGTTTTATGTTCTTAGTCTTCAGAGGAACGTCTGTTGAAGCAATTCACAAGAACAAAGCTGCCATCCCTGCCTTTCAAGTTTTCCACTGGAAAGCATTCTCTTTGTTTTTCCCTTTTCAATAAAACAGCTTCAAATGAATCCATGTTAATGGATTCTTCTTCCATGTTCGTTTATCCGAGTATATATGCTGGACCTGTTCAAACCTTTTATTGGAAACATTGGTTGTGACGGCAGTCACAGATGCCAAAGATATGGTGTCCGGCTCTAGCATTCCAGCAAGACGCATGGCTTTCTTATCCAGATCTTCCATTTCCAGGATTGCTGGTTCATCTGCTATGCCGTATAAAACAATAAGTAATGTCAAAAACAGTTTCACATTCTACAGGTATTTAAATTAACATTGACTGCTAATAAAATGTGTTTGTAGAGATGATGCTTTACCTCCTCTCCTATGGTCATCTTTTGAGCTTTTTGTCTTTCCAAGTTTCATGGCTGAGAAAACTCCTCTCCCTGCTCTGTTAAAAGAAATCAAAGAGAACAGCAGATCTGTCCTCAGATAAACCTACTTTATGCCATGTTCAATTGGTTGGAACCTCTAAAGAAAAATATAAAAAAAATGTATAAGAACATTTCAAAGTACCTACTACATTTTTTTTTTTACATCCATGAAAGTTGGTCAGGTTGCAATAAACCAGAAGATAAAACAAATACTGCAAACCCTCAATCACAAAACAAGAGTATCCAGTTTCCTCACATTGATATTATCAGGATCATATATCACTGCAGTAACAAAGCGCTTGTGATGTCATTGGGAGGGCGACAAATGAGGGGCTTTAATAATTAAAAATATTGGTGACCATCCAGTTTGCTTCGGATATAGATACATGTCAGGAAATAATTAACTGTTTTGTTTCCCTTTGGCCCTCTGAGTCCAATGTGTCAGCGTGCAGCTTCAACATCAGACTATGAGGAAACTCTCAAAGTATTACAGTACATGCTGTTTTATGGACTTTTTCATAAAGCTAAGTTGTAGTAAAATTTTATTGAGTAGATTCAACAAAAAACCTTTACACATGTTTCGTGAGTGAATAAAACACTATACACACACACACACACACACACACATATATATATATATAAATCTGTATAGTAACAGTTTGTTTGTTTGCTACTTTAAATCTGGCCTAATACAGATGGACAGCTGCAAAGAAAAACACTAATTTAAAATGTACCCACAAAAGCTCCCAATCAATCAGCTTAAACAGAAAATAACAAAAGCAGAAAAAAAAATAGCTTGACATGATCCATTACTGCAACTTTAGAAAACTTGTTGCAGATACTTAAATGTCTTAGTTGCTCTCGATATACATTCAAAGTGTAATATTCCCTTTAAGTCACAAATTAAAACAGTCATTACATGAAAAGTTCTATGAATTACTATTAAGAATTTAAGTTTTCCAACCCAATTCCTTGTTTCTGTCAAGAAAAATACAAGAAAAAATTGGCAAACACTGGTTCTCATACATACCACATCAAAGACACCAAATATCCCATTCAACTCCTCAAATAGGTCAGATTAAGTAAATCCAACCTCAGGTTCACCTTGGACCCTGTTTCTATAAAAGGCAGTACAAACTAAAAAGACTGGTGCAATAGTTAGAGACCAGGTGGAGAGATGCAGTTACAGTTGCAGACATCTGTGAATGCAGCAGGACAGAGAGAAGGGGGGAGGTGAGAGAAAGGTGGTGGGAGGTACAAGGAGATCATGGGAGATTGAATTTACCTTAAAAAACACTAAGAAAATCAAATAAGCAGCAGAATTTGTGACACACATACAGTCTTTGTTTAGTACATACCTATATTTACGGCAGTTTTCAACTACTGAAGTCATTACAGGGCAAACTGCTCATGTTCTATTCTAATTTGGTTCTACAAAGTACTTAACAATGCATTTATTTATTTGTACTATCCTTTCTATGAGTGATTTGACTCTCACATCAATGAGCACCTTAAAGAATAAATGTGGTTTAGTGTCGTGTCTAAAAAAAAGAGGATCAAATTTCCCACCTTCCAGTCTGGGGGTGACTGCCTTTCTGAAAAATGCTTAAAAGAAAATCTCCCATTTAGGAGAAACAAATAAATGCCGTACCAATGAGACAGAACTGTCTGCAGTAACGCTAATTCCATTTCAGAAGATCAGCAGAATAATTGAACAATAAATGTATCAAATAAATAACATTTATGAAATTATTAAATACTTATTTAATTATCCAAGTGTTCAATCTCTTCCTACTGATCTTTTTTTTTCCATAACAATTTTTTCCGTAACTCCTGAAAATACAGACGTCTTCATACATTTGCATACAAATGTGAACATATTTGTTTCCCAATATTATTGTTTGCATTAAAGTTTTTAGATTTATTTGGTCAACACAAAGCTAAGTATGTTTGTGAAGAGGAAGAAAAAATATACAATTATAAAAAAATATACAGTATATTTTTATTTTTTTTAAATTAAGCACCACAAAGTCAACACTTTTGGAGCTGTCTGTCACAGTAAATACAGTATCAAGTCCTTCAGGCATTTACAGTATGAGCTTTCTTTTAGAATTGTCTGTTCGTCTGTATTTTGCCCTCTTTATTTATCTATCAGCTCTAACCAGCTCCAGAAGAAAACCATCCCCTCCATATGATGTTGCGATCGCAATGCTATGCTTTGCTTTAATTCAAATATGTATATATACACAAAATGGTTCATTATTAGGTATTTTGGAGTGTGCAACTTGTCTCCCAGTTGAGAAATGGATTCTTGAAGCTTATCCAAAAAAACATCCAATAACAATTTTATTTCAAGGCACCTTTCAAGAAACACAAGGCCACTGTACAAGGAGAGAAATAAAATGCAAACAAAACCAAGTCAACTTAAAACAAGCAATAAAACTAGACATTAAAATAAAAAAATAACATAAAGTAAATTCTATTTTGTATAAGGAATTCCAAAGAGATGCAACTTAAATTAAGCTAAAAGCAGAAAGTGGTTGAGAGAGATGATGAAGATCAGGAGGAAGTGAATTCCAGAGATGGGGAGCAGAGCAACTGAAGACCCTGCTCCCCGTAACACTGAGACCGGAGTGATGGTGACATGAAGGAGAGCAGAAAGATAAGAGGGAATGAGGTTGATTCGATGTGAAGTAGAACATTTAACTGAATGCGATAGTGGCCCAAAAGGGGAAAAAAACATGGATAACTTTCCTTTAAATCCACATATATATACTTCTTTTAAAAAAAGGAGCCTGTTTTCAGTTGAGACATAAAATGTGGAAATTTTGAAGTGATATGAACACTTGATGTATGCAAAACATAACGATTATATTGGAAAATCCCTGCCACCCTGCTGGATCAGAGTACCGCATAAAGGTTTTGACCTGGTGACAGCAGATATAGTTGTTTAATAGAAAACCTAGGAGTAGCTTTTTCTGTCATTGAAAAGTTTTGATTTTCCCAAATCTGCTTGCTTTTAAGCAGGATTTAAGACTTAAACATCATTGTGCATAAAAGTGTCAAACTATAAACAATAAAATTTCATTTAGCCAGTTCTGTATTAACTGCCCTTGATTCCCAGTCTTATATACAAAATCAAGAATTAGGGGCTTTGTAGATCAGTCAATTTTCATTGATCCATGTAGCATGTCCAGTGCATGTAGAGCTGCTCTCATTAATCGCTTTATTAAACTATAAGGTCATAGTTTTAATTATATGATACACAAAAACAATGTGGTTTTAAAGAGATTCTCAGTAAATAAGTAAAAACCGTAAAATTTGAAGATGAGTGATTTTTTTTTCTAACTACATTCTTCTGAGCTTCTGAGTTTTATTTGCCTTGCTAAAAATATATATATTATGGGAGGAAAAGTAAAGCTGGACTACCAAATTTTCAATGCTGACCTTTTCAGAGAAAGGCTGTGCATCGGAGCAAATAAAAGTACCAGAGTTCAACAGCACAGAAGAGAGATTCTAAGTAAGAAAATACACTATACTATAGCTCTCATTTTTAGTAGTGCAAAGCCAAAAAATGGTAAATTCAGGAAAAAACATCAAAGACAGAGATATTCTACAGGAGAATGTAGGCGTGAAAAACAGATAAAAAGAAAACCCTCAAAATTGTTTGCCCTTTTATTAGCAAAAATCATCCACCAACATTAAATAGGTGATGATAGAAGCGTTTGGAAGGCTGACATGTGGTGCAAAGGTAAATAAGAAAGGAAAAACAAAACCTGGTTTACTTATCAAGCATCTTTTAGTTATGAATTCAATTTCAGGGCTTTGTCACATGTTGACAGGAAATTTTGTTACAGTATAGGAGCCAATCGAGTGCTCACTTTTTTAATTTTTATCTTGGCTTCGGTTTGAAATCAGACTTTGACCACACTGTTCTTGGAGCAAATACAGTAACACTTTTAAATATGTCTCTTTCTTGTTCAAGCTCATCAAATAGGATTTTTCCACTCCCCAAAATACATAACACAACTTCCCGATCTTCTTTAATCTCATGATGCTGAGTTCTCTTCAGCAACAATCTTTCTAAGGCCTAAAGAATTATAACAAGGTTATATACATGTAATATTTGTCACACACTAAATTTCTGTATGTATGTTTCATATAGGAGGTTTTAAAGTTGAATTAAAAGCAATCTATTCCTTCCTAAAGACTTTTTAGATGAATAACACCACTTTGGGAAATGAGACAGTGTACCAGTAGCCATGCACATGTAGGTTTACTTGAGGTATTTCAATGTCAGAAATCATAAAACAAATGTATGTGTTGGTCTTTATTTTCCTTGCATTGACATCTAATGAATCAATTCATTGCATATTCACCACTGGAGATATGTAGCTGCCCCTCTGAGAAGAATAAATGACTCACAGAAAACAACTTGATGCATAAATGGGTGTTGTGTTGCAACAGCACAGAGCAACAGAGGTAAAATAAAATGTCAAGCATCACTTCTTTATTCCTTCAAAAACAAAGTTTCAGAGGTATAGATGGTAGAAATGTGCCTTGATATTTTCTTCCATCTTGTCCTAATAAGGACTTGATTTTACTCAAACATAATAGAGTTGCATGACCTGATTCTCACATTTATATGTTTTTATGGTGTGAGAGGAACCAACTGTGTCTTAACACCAGTAAGACCAAAGAAATGGTGATCGACTTCAGGAGAAGACCCCCACCTCACTACCCAGTGAATATGTCCAGGCGCGGGACAAAGAAACTGGATTGTTTCAAATACCTGGGTGTTCATGTCAATAATAAACCGGACTGGACTCATAACAGTGACGCCCTGTATAATAAGGGCCAGAGCTGCCTCCACCTCTTGAGGAGGCTGAGCCTGCTTAAAACCTTCTATGACTCTGTGGTGACATCAGCCCTCCTCTGCGTTGTTGTCTGCTGGGCCTCTGGCAGTGCAGAGCGGGACAGAAAGAGACTGAACAAACTGGTGGGAAAGGCCTCTTCT